AACTAGCTAAGGGAATAAAGGGGAACAAGAAGACTTTTTATCAATACATTAGAAGCAAGAGGAAGACCAAAGACAGGGTAGGCCCACTGCTTAGTGAAGCGGGAGAAACAGTAACAGGAAACTTGGAAATGGCAGAGATGCTTAATGACTTCTTTGTTTCGGTCTTCACCGAGAAGTCTGAAGGAATGCCTATCCTAGTGAATGCTAATGGGAAGGGGGTAGGTTTAGCAGATAAAATAAAAAAAGAACAAGTTAAAAATCACTTAGAAAAGTTAGATGCCTGCAAGTCACCAGGGCCTGATGAAATGCATCCTAGAATACTCAAGGAGCTAATAGAGGAGGTATCTGAGCCTCTAGCTATTATCTTTGGAAAATCATGGGAGACGGGAGAGATTCCAGAAGACTGGAAAAGGGCAAATATAGTGCCCATCTATAAAAAGGGAAATAAAAACAAGCCAGGAAACTACAGACCAGTTAGTTTAACTTCTGTGCCAGGGAAGATAATGGAGCAAGTAATTAAGGAAATCATCTGCAAACACTTGGAAGGTGGTAAGGTGATAGGGAACAGCCAGCATGGATTTGTAAAGAACAAATCATGTCAAACCAATCTGATAGCTTTCTTCGATAGGATAACGAGTCTTGTGGATAAGGGAGAAGCTGTGGATGTGGTATACCTAGACTTTAGTAAGGCATTTGATACGGTCTCGCATGATATTCTTATCGACAAACTAGGCAAATACAATTTAGATGGGGCTACTATAAGGTGGGTGCATAACTGGCTGGATAACCGTACTCAGAGAGTTGTTATTAATGGTTCCCAATCCTGCTGGAAAGGCATAACGAGTGGGGTTCCGCAGGGGTCTGTTTTGGGACCGGCTCTGTTCAATATCTTCATTAACGACTTAGATATTGGTATAGAAAGTACGATTATTAAGTTTGCGGATGATACCAAACTGGGAGGGATTGCAACTGCTTTGGAGGACAGGGTCATAATTCAAAATGATCTGGACAAATTGGAGAAATGGTCTGAGTTAAACAGGATGAAGTTTAACAAAGACAAATGCAAAGTGCTCCACTTAGGAAGAAAAAATCAGTTTCACACATACAGAATGGGAAGAGACTGTCTAGGAAGGAGTACGGCAGAAAGGGATCTAGGGGTTATAGTGGACCACAAGCTAAATATGAGTCAACAGTGTGATGCTGTTGCAAAAAAAGCAAACGTGATTCTGGGATGTATTAACAGGTGTGTTGTGAGCAAGACACGAGAAGTCATTCTTCCGCTCTACTCTGCTCTGGTTAGGCCTCAGCTGGAGTATTGTGTCCAGTTCTGGGCACCGCATTTCAAGAAAGATGTGGAGAAATTGGAAAGGGTCCAGAGAAGAGCAACAAGAATGATTAAAGGTCTTGAGAACATGACCTATGAAGCAAGGCTGAAAGAATTGGGTTTGTTTAGTTTGGAAAAGAGAAGACTGAGAGGGGACATGATAGCAGTTTTCAGGTATCTAAAAGGGTGTCATAAGGAGGAGGGAGAAAACTTGTTCACCTTAGCCTCTCAGGATAGAACAAGAAGCAATGGGCTTACACTGCAGCAAGGGAGGTCTAGGTTGGACATTAAGAAAAAGTTCCTAACTGTCAGGGTGGTTAAACACTGGAATAAATTGCCTAGGGAGGTTGTGGAATCTCCATCTCTGGAGATATTTAAGAGTAGGTTAGATAAATGTCTATCAGGGATGGTCTAGACAGTATTTGGTCCTGCCATGCGGGCAGGGGACTGGACTCGATGACCTCTCGAGGTCCCTTCCAGTCCTAGAATCTATGAATCTATAAATAAACCTAGGGAGGTGGTGGAATCTCCTTCCTTAGATGTTTTTAAGGCCCGGCTTGACAAAGCCCTGGCTGGCATGATTTAGTTGGGGTTGGTCCTGCTTTGAGCAGGGGGTTGGAGTAGATGACCTCCTGAGGTCCCTTCCAACCCTGATATTCTGATTCTTTGGTGTTGTACTGTGTGTTTAGTGTTACATTGTGTGTGCTGTTTCGCATTGCATTGTGTACGCAGTGTGGTGTTGCAATTGCGTGTTTGTTTGGTGTCGCATCGTGTGTGCTCAGTTTGTGTTGCATTGTGTACAGGCTGAAGCTGCTGTGTGTATAGTCTGAGGTTGCTGTGCTGTTTGCTGTTTCATCGGGTATGCAGTTTGCAGTATTGCCAACCCCAAGCATTTGGGGCCCCTCAAAATCATGAGATTGGTTTAAAAATCATGAGACTTCAAAATGACTGCTTTGGGATTTTTATTTGCCTTCTGCAGGGACACTGTGCCCCTCCCCCTTTTTCCCTCCACCACATGGCAAGGGCTCTATGTGCTCCCGCATTTTCTCCCGCCCATGCCATGGCCAATCCACCAAGTGTCCCCCATTTCCCCCTTCCAGTTTTTCTGGTTTTCACCAATCTCACTAGGGTTCTACCCACTGATACCTAGAAGATTCCCTGAAATTGTGGAATGGATCAGATGCGGCATTCAAAAGTTCCTGTGTTACAGACAGACCGACAGAGAAACGCTGTCAAGCTGTGTGTTAGACCTCAGTTGGCTCAGACAATAACAATGGCAGATTCCCCTTCTGATTTGCACAACCCTCTGTGCACGAAGGTCCAGATGTGGTCACGGGCCACGTTTGTCTCTAACCCTCCCCTATCTCTCTGCTTGTTGCCACTTGTACAATCTCATTATTGTCAGGGCAAGACCCATCTTCTCTGCCTCCCTCTACATCTCAGCCTCTCCACCTCATTGGGAATCGGAAAACACCTCTTGGCTCCCTTGCCTGCGCTGTTTTCATTTCACACTCCCTCTGCTATGATCTCCGTCACAGCTTTGTTTAACTCTGTAAAGCTAGGCATGGACGCCACACCTTATTTGAACTGGTGTGAATCCAGATCTACTCCGGAGTCGCACTTGACCCCTTCTGATTGGCTACCTGACCCGCTTACCTGCCTCCTGGGGCAGAGCAACCAATCAGAGCTGCTGTAGGAAGAGCGCTCTCTCTCTCTCTCTCTTACATCAGCAGCCCAAAGTCATCCTCCCAGAAGGGGAGAAACAGGGGGGAGGAGGGAGGGGGAGCAGCTAAAGAGCCCAGCAACTCAGGGCAGATCCATTGCCTCCTCCCCTCTGAGCAACAAGATGGCTCTCCTGTCTTTCCACTTTGATAGTAGCCTTCAGCTACCTGAAGGGGGGTTCCAAAGAGGATGGAGCTCGGCTGTTCTCAGTGGTGGCAGATGACAGAACAAGGAGCAATGGTCTCAAGTTGCAGTGGGGGAGGTCTAGGTTGGATATTAGGAAAAACTATTTCACTAGGAGGGTGGTGAAGCACTGGAATGGGTTACCTAGGGAGGTGGTGGAATCTCCTTCCTTAGAGGTTTGTAAGGCCCGGCTTGACAAAGCCCTGGCTGGGATGATTTAGTGCGGGTTGGTCCTGCTTTGAGCAGGGGGTTGGAGTAGATGACCTCCTGAGGTTCCTTCCAACCCTAATCTTCTATGATTCCCCTGCAACACCCAGCCTGGAAAAGGAGACCCTGCTGCCACCACGGCCCCGGCTGGGGAGAGTGGGGGTAAAGACCCGCAGGAGGAGCAGAGGGGAGGCTGGATGGGGGCTGGATAGATGTGGGGGTGGGAGATGTGAGGGACAGGATTGATCTGGAGGTTGGGGCAGAATTAATTGCTGGGCAGGGGAGGGGCAGATGTGGAGTGAGAGCATCTGCAGCAGGGGCCAAAATCTCCTGACCCGATAAATGGGAGAGAGTGAATGACACTAATTGTCACACACACGCACATCCACACACACGCGGGGGATGGCCACAGGGAGTTCAACAATCAAAAAAGAGAGACCAGAAAAACACCGTTTTTTTTTTTTAAATTCATTATTGTTGGGCCCCACTCGTGATTTTTGATCTCTTGAGGTTAGCAATGCCGGGGACTGCGGTTTCTCTGAGGCAGGGCTGTCTAGTTTATTTGTTGAATCTGGTAGAGAAAATACCCATATTAGCTCTGCGATTCATTGGGGAAATAAAGTTACTAAACTGCTAGACAACTGTTGTGCTGCATTGTGATGTTCACATGTGTGCACATTGTGTAGGTAGCTTTTGCTTGCTGTTGCATTGTGGGTACAACTTTTCTTTGGTGTTGCAGCGTCTGTTCAATTTGTGTCTACCGCTCGTTTGATGTTGCATTGTGTTTAGTTTGTATTGCATTGTATTTTTTGTGTTCAGTGTACGTTGCGTTGTGCGTACAGCTTTTGTTTGGTGCTGCATTACATGTTCAGTTTGTATTGCATTGCATTTTGTGGGTTCAGTTTTTGTTGCCTGATGTGTGCAGCTTTTGTTTGGTGTTGCAATGTGTGTGCGCATTTCATTTGGTGTTGCGTTGTCTGTACAGCTGTTGTTCAGTGTCGCATTTTGCGTGTTGACTTTGTGTTGCCTGGTGCGTGCAACTTTTCGTTTGGTGTTGCAATGGATGTGCATTTTGCTTAGATTGGCAAGGTGTGTGCATTTCGTTTGCGGGTGCACTGTGTGTGCTCAGTTTGTTTTGCCTTGTGTGTGTGCGCAGCTTTTGTTTGCTCTTGCATCACACTAGGGCAGGGACAGCGTGTCGGGCAATAACCTGCAGAAGAGCAGCCAGGCCCATCGCTCCTGGACAGGGGCCGCGTGAGCTCCCAGCCGAGTATGGCTCTACCCTGAACAACTTGAAACCTTACTCCTCTCTGAATAAGACCCAATGCCTCCATGGCCCCTGGGAGCCCGGTGCACCCTGGGAGTTGAAGTCCCCTTGCCCTATACTCTGCCTGGACTTCCCAGCTGGGCAAACTACACTCCCCAGATTCCCCGGCCAGGAGGCGCTTTGTCTCCCTCTCCCCAGGGCTCTCTGGGAGCTGCAGTCTCCCCTCCTGCTCCACCCTAGCGCCAGGCAGCCAGAGAGAACTACAACTCCCAGCATGCTCCGGGCCTCCCCTTCTCCCCGCCCCCTGCTGGGCTGAGTGGTGTTTTTGTTGTTGGTAAAAGGTTAGTGGAACAGCTGATTGCTCTGTAGGGTAAGAGACCTTCTTTATCTAATGGGGCGCCTCTGCTTTTCTCCTCCCCCCAGGCCCCTGCCCCCCGCCTCCTTCCTCTGCTGCTGCCTGGGGGAGGGGGTGGGTCTGGGCTTTTGGAGAGGGGCAATTCCCTTTCTGCACCGTGCAGCCTCGTGCCAGGGGCGATCCGTGCTCCCCCCCCCCCCCCCCGCAGTGCCCCCCCTCGCGAGGGCTGTGCCTGTAGCCAGGGTACCCTGGAGTCCAGCAGCCCCCTGATCTCAGGATTGCCCGGCCTGTGCTTCGAGGCCTGTGGAGGCTGCAGGGAAGGCAGGGGGCCATCCCTCTCCTCTGGAAAGGGGCAGCCCAGGAGATGGAAACCCCCTACCCCACCCCCAGCTGTCAGCCTCCCTCCTCCCCCCCGCTTCAGCCCCCTTCCACTGCTTTACCCCCATCTCCCCTGGCTGCTGGGACAGGCCTGCGACCTGCCCCGCCATACTGTTTGCCTGGTTGGAGCTGACCCCTCCTGTATGCCCCTGGCCCCGGGCAACCCAGAGATTAGCCACCCCCGTGGCATTAAAGAGCGAAGAATCTCTCCCATGCCTGTATTTGCACCTGGGGCTGGTGCATCAGGGCGATCTTCACCACCCCCTCACCCCCCTGCACAAGTTCCCCCCTGTGCAGCTTCCTTCCCCAGCACGCCTGTGGCTTTGGGTTTCCGAACACGAGTTTCCTTTGTCGCTTTGGTTTGGAGCCGTTTGATTTTTTTTAAAGCCTTTTATTCTGGGCAAGAAGGGCAGGGGCGGGGGGGCGAGGGGGGAGAAGTGGGAAGAGTTTCCCCCGCTGGGGACTAGGTCTTTTCTTCTCTTGCCAAGCTGGGAGGTGGTTTTTCCTTGTCTCTCCCTGGAACCGGCCTTGCATAAGGCTGGTGCGCCCTGCTTGCCTTGTGCAAGCTTCAAGGGATCCTCCCCCTGTCCCTGGCAGCCAGGTGAGCGGAGAGGATGGATGGCAGCTGCTGGGATTTGTTTTGCACATGGCTGCTCCTTGGCTGGCTTGGCACAACTGGAGCAGCAGACTCCAGGGCGGGGAAAGGAATGTAGCTTCAGGCACTTGGCTGGATGATGGCCAGGAGGTCCCACGCCAGCCGTGCGCTGTCTGGGCTTGTGGGGCCGATCATCAGGTGTCTCGCCCAGGCCACGAGCGCTTTTTAGCGGTGATTGTGCAGGATTCCCAGGAGAGCAAGGCCGAGAGGTCCCAAGCCAAATCAGGGCCCTGTTGTAGTCACAAAGAGGCAGTAACTGCCCCCAAAGAGCTCAGAGTCTTCCCTAGGCAAAGGGTGGGAGTGGAAACAGAGGCACAGGGTGGGGAAGTGACTTTTCCCAGGTCACACAGCAGAGCTAGGAGTAGAAGCCAGGTGTCCTGCCTTAATTCCACGCGCTAGCCACAGCGCCACTCTGCCAACCTCAAGATGCTCAGAGCTTCATTTTATGTCAGAGGAAGTTAGTAATAGCAGGACTCTGTAGAGGAGCTAATGTTAATACCTAGCTCTTATCATCGGTGGGTCTTACAGCGCTTTACAAAGGAGGTCAGCCTCATTATCCCCATTTTACAGATGCGGAAACTGAGGCAGCGAGAGGAAGTGACTAACACAAGGTCACCCAGCAAAGCAGGGTAGTGAACTGGCACTAGAGCCCAGATCCCCGGAGTGCTAATCCTGTCCTGTATCCACTAGGCCACGCTGCCTCCCAGCAGATCTTCCGCCCAGGCGTGGCTGCGCCGGGGATTATACTTGGTGCAGGCGTACTTTGGGGAATCTCATTCAGATGTACTGGGACACTCACCACGTATGATCACTGCACACGGGCGCCAGTGTGCGGGAGAGTCTAATGATGGCAGGGAAGGCACCAAGTTACAGGGCGCCTCTGTCACATGGGATCATCGAGCGAGGATTTTGGCTTGTCCAGAGAAGAAATTGGGGTGCCTGGTTACCTCCCCCTTTGCAGTGAACCCCTTTGAAGATGTCTACAGCCCCATCAGTGCTGTGTATGAGTCTCTTGGCTGTTACCACATTGTTAACCTGTAGTGTAGACGTGACCTCACCCTGGCCATGGAGCTTACTAGACAAGTTGCTGTTCTAGCTGCTGAGTTAATTGCAGCTGCTGTGTAGACAGGACCAGCATGTCTCTCTCCCCATGCTTGGAGGGGAGTCCCTCCAGGAAAACCCAGGCTTCTGAGGGAAATGATTCTAGTGATAAAGCAAGGGGTGTTGTTCTTATTTCTGTGTTGTGGTAGCGCCTCGGAGGCCCAGTCATGGACCATGAGCCTGTTGCACTAGGTGCTGTACAAACAGAATACAAAGACCCCAAAGTACTCTAAGCTGTCCTGAACTAATGCCCCAGCCAGGTGCTGGAGCCGCCAGCTTCCAGCTGCGATGTAAAAATCAAGGGCCTGGCTCTTTTGCTGTCGCTAAGCATCCTGCGGCCATAGGCGTCGACGTCCCCTCTTTCCCCTGGGTGCTCGACGCCCCCTCTTCCCCCGGCCCCACCCCCACTCCACCCCTTCCCCAAAGTTCCCGCCCCAACTCCGCCCCCTCCCTGTCCCTATTCCCACTCCTTCCCCAAATCCCGGCCTCTTCCCCTGAGTGTGCCACATTCCCACTCCTCCTTCCCACCCCCCCACTTCCCCCGGAGCATGCTAATGCCGCCAAATAGCTGTTTGGCGGCAGCCGGGCGGGAAGCGTTGGGAGGTAGGCGGAGGAGCGGGGATGCGGCACACCCGAGGGGGCGGAGGAGGAGGGGCAGGGCAGGGGGTGAGGGGAGCTTGGCTGCCAGTGGGTGCAGAGCACCCACTAATTTTTGCCCCGGAGCACCCATGGAGTCGGCGCCTATGCCTGCGGCCACTTTCACAAAAGCCAGGGCTTTCAACGTGCATCCGTGCATTCCCCCTCCCTGTATTCCCCAGCTGGGTACGAGACTCAGTATCGCCAACCCCAAATGTTCAAACATCATGAGTCAGGCTCCCCAAAAATCATGAGATTATGTACAGATAATAACGTTGGGGTTCTTTTTATTTGCCTTCTGCTTTTTGAGCCTTTAGGGTGCATTGGGGTCATATTTTGAAGCTTTCTCCACTGCCACGAGGGCTGAAAACGTTCTTTTTCTTTAAGGAAGGCAGAAATCATCACGTATCCCTTCACTCCAGGAGCTGGGGCTTTCAGGAAAGCAATCATTATCATGAGACTCATGACAAAACCGTGAGAGTGGGTAACCCTGGAGACTCCACTTCCTGTCCTCTGTCGCCGTGTGGTGTGGCCGTTGTGGGCCCCGCCCCAGGGCAGCAATCAGAGTGATCCTGGTATACGCTGCTTGTAAAGCACTTTGGGATCTGATGCTGGAGAGGCAGGATGAGACCCAGATACTGCTGGTAGGCCAGCTGGTGGGAGAGGTGGGGGGTCGTGTTTGTCCTCTCACCTCGCAGCAGCATTTCTTAAAGCCAATGCATCTGTGCCAAGGGCAGTGGATGCATCTGCTCCCCCTGTGCAGCGCACCTGGTTCCGTAGGGCCTCATTTTCTGGGGCCTAGTGGCTAGAGCACCAGACTGGGACTCGGAGACCTGGCCAACTAGGTGACCTTGGGCAAGTCCCTTCCCTGCTCGGTGCCTCAGTTTCCCCATCTGTCAAATGAAGAGACTGATGCTGACCTCCTTTGTAAAGAGCTTTGAGATCCATGGGTGAAAGGCACAATAGAAGGGCTAGCTCCTGTGATTAAAGTTGAGAACCCCTTTGGTTAAAGGTTGACTGTTGGATTCTCTTGAAATGTGACGTGCAGAAAGACGGTTTCTTGCCATAGTGATTGCACGGGACTTGGTGGGTCGAGGGGACGGGTTGTGACCCTGAGCTACCCTCCAGGTATTGCAGCTCTGAAAGCTACCCTTGGCAGATATCTGAGGACGAATTACAGGCCAGGTGCGACTGTCTGCCTCTGTCGAAGGGTTTCTGTTACTGCTGGGAACTGTAATCCGAGGACAGCAGAGAACTGAGAAGGGGCGCAAACTCTTTTTGAAAGGAAAAGGAATGACACGTGAATGCTTGCTGCGCCAGGCCAGGGGTTGGGAGAGTGCTGGGGAAGGGGAATCATGTGATGGGTGGCAGGGAGCGGAGAGGGGTTGGGGGCTCCGGAGAGGGGGAGGGGTGGGACATGGGGAGGGGAGACGTGGGGGAGTGGTAGGGTAAATGGGGTGACTAGGGATGTGGGAGCATGTGAGCCCCATCTTCTCCCCCCTATGTGTGTACCAGGATCTTGGGAGGGGGTATCAGCCTGCTCCTCTGAGCGGGTCCGAGGCCCTGTATATGCTGGGTTCTTGGGGGTCCTGCTGTTCTAAGGGATCTGAGCCCCTCCCCTGCCCCCCATGTGTGTGCCCGGATCCAGTAGCCCTGTCCCTCTGGGGTGAGGGGACCGAGCCCCTTTCCCTGCCCTCCCTCCATGTGTGTGTGCCAGGATCTTGGGGGCCCTGTTATTGTAAGGGGTCTGAGCCCCTCTCCCTGCTCCCCCCCAAATGTGAGCCAGGTTCTGGAGGGGCCCTGACTACACCACACATTGAAATCTCTGAAAATCAGACAATTCAAAGTTAAGGTGACAGCACCCCTGTGTGGGGCTGGCCCGCTTGGAGGCTGGGCGAGCCAGGGGCCTCGCCAGAGCAGGGGGAGTAGCTGGAGGGGGGGCGCCTGGCGGGGGCCCAGTTTGCTGTCCAGCGCAGCCTCTGTAACTGAGAAATGTGTGGCCCTCCCATAAGCAGCTGCTTGTGATACACGTAGAACAAATTTCTTACATGCTCGTGGCTTCTCACATGCCAAGGAATGGTCCTGAATGGCTTCGTGGGGCGGGACGGGGAGGGGAAGCTGGAAATGGGGGTGGGGGCGCTGCCTCATGTGAGGAGGAGAATGACTGCCCTGCATAAAGCTACTGTAACTAAACCACCACGGAATAAAATGGTCAGTTTTGGGGCCAGGGATAAGATTTCTCTCACTGCCCTGTTAGCAGCTCCCCCCTCCAGACATTTCACAACACGACGCATGGTTCTGTGCCAAAGGGGACAGGAGCTCTTAGGATCACATAGCCTCCTTGCTAGCCAGCTGCAAACGTAAGGGACAGCTATAACGACCTGCCTGACCCCTGACTCCTACCAAAAATGTTTCTCTTTCTGGTTGGGAAACAAGGAAATTCACGGACAAAAAACTTGGTTAACCCAGAGCTGCGGTTGCCTGTTGGGTCTCGTGCCCGTCCAGCAGAACTCAAACCTCGGACAACCAGAAAAGGCAGTGTGAAGGGACGCCCCAACGCGGCCTTAACTCTGACCCTCCGGAGCTGGCGGTAGCCAGTAGGAATTATCTGTGTGCGCTCCAGCTGTGCTCGCTGTTGTTAGGTGGAGCTATATGGAATGGTGGAGGGATTAGCCGGAGAAGCTGGGCAGAGCTGTGATTGTGATGGGGGGCGATATGGGGGTGCCCTTTCCCTCAGAGATTCTGAGCCCCTCTGCCCACGCCTCACCCCACATGTGTGAGGATGGGAAAACGGTGCACGTGCATCCTGAGCGATGCCGTTTGTCTCATTCCAGTGCTGAGCTGGAAAGCATGTGTCAGCAGCAGGGCACGGGGGTCTTCTTGTCATGGGGGGCGTCAGCAGCGAGGTGGGGTATGAGGGTGGGGTGGGCATGTCCTGATGGGTGAGTGACAGTGTTATGTTTGAGGGGGTCCTGTGTGCAATGGTGAAAGGTTGTAAAATACAGCGGGTATGGGGTTGGTTTTGCGGTGGAGGCTCCGTATCCGGGCATAGGGTGGGCATAGGCAGCACCCTTCCAGTCCAGTTCACCTGAACACAAGTTTCGCCTTGGCAAAGAGATGGCATTGGACCCTGTGCTGCAGCTGGCGCATGCTTCTTCCCTGGGCGATGGGCACGAGCTGCAAAGGTAGAGTGCAAGTACATGTCTTGTGGGCACCCTGTGCCATCGCTTAGAAGGGCAGAGTTAAGGTTACATTGGTGTGTACCTTGACTCGGTTTCCTGGCTGTCAGAGGTCTGCGTTTTGCTGGATGAGCATGGGGCAATCTGAACTGTTTTTGTCAATGGATTTGTGTTAATTCCTAGCGACCCCAGCCAAGGTTACTAGTCTAGGTGCAAGCCACTATCCTTGCGCCAAAGATTTTGCAGGGTGGAAGGAGAAACTGAGGCACAGAGGGAGGGAGTTGCCCATGGTCACACAGCAGGTCAGTGGCAGAGATGGGAACAGAACCCAAGTGCCCTGAGACCCAGTTTAGTGGCACACTAACCAGATTTAAAAAGACTAGACAAAGGTCCCTTTCTGTCTGAAATATGTGGGGTCTTGGGGGTCCAGCTGCAAAGGCACCTGAGTGCCAGGACTCCTGTGTTCAATTCCCAGCTCTGAAATGGAGACTCGCTGTGTGCCCAAGAACCTCTGTAAAATAGAGACAGTGGCACTGCCCTGCCTCCTGCGGGCTGGGCAGCTAAATGCATCCATGCCCATGAGGTGCCCACGGTGATGAGTTCCATGGATGTACCCGTGGCATGTAGGGAAGCAGTGACTTTCAGGGCATCCCAGGCTGGTCCAGGGTGGAATTTGCCCATCCTGCCCCTTCCCCATCTCTTTTCTCCCTCCCACCTGTGACATTCCCCAGGATACAATCTGGACGGTTGAGCAGCTGTGTCCCCTCAATTCTCCAATCTGGGGTGCCTTTTACACGGCTTCACTGTGAGCGCAACCACTCCTGGTCTGCTCACACGCCTGTAACTCACTCACAGCTACATTGCAAGAGTACAGCCAACCACCCGTGAATTACACTGCAGAGCAACACCAACAAACTCCCAGTCCCAGACTTTCCCCCAGAAATGTGCATCTTGTAGTGCCCAGCTCTCTCCTGGACACCACAAACTCATATAAAGTCCATCATTTTATTAATAGAAAATGCTATGCACAAACCCTGATATCTCAAATGGAGTTTCCCAAATACTTCAATCCAAGCACCCTGGTCTAGATAAAACAATAAAACAAGTTTATTAACAACAGAAGGATAGATTTTAAGTGATTACAAGTAATGAGGCATAAAAGTCAGAATTGGTTACAAAGAAATTAAAGATAAAACACAACTAACGTCTAACTTAACAAGCTAAGTGATTTCAAAGCAAAAGTCTCTGTTCCTACATGTTCTAGCAGCCTCACTGGCTGAATTCCTTTCTGCCAGGATCTCTTCCTTTGTCCTTCAAGTGTTGTCAATGCCGTGAGTCGAGGTGAAAGGAGAGATCTTTTGGAGAGTTTCTTCCCCTTCCTTACAGTTCTCTTTTTCTTTGAGAATCATCTCCAGCTGAGGCCCAGGAGACAGCAGGAGATGGGAACCTGCAGCTTTTTCTTTGCCAAAATGTAGATTTCTCACTCACCCTCTTTTTCCTGCCAAAGAATGGCCACTTAACCAGGTGATGGTCCATTTGATTTTGTTGACACCTAGCTGAGGCATCAGTTTGCCTGTTGTCTCTCTGAAATTGGTTTGTGGCTGCCTTTCTAAACTTGGAACTTGTCTCTGCAATGTCATACAGTAGAATTGTATAACTTTACATACAATGTTGTCACCCATTTTTTACCAGGACAGTAATGGTCAGCAAATTACGAGTTTTTGAATGATACCTCACAAGGCATACTTTGTACAAAATTTATCATAGTCTTGTAGAAAGGGTGAACATTGGGTTACAGACTGTCACGCTGTCCTTCTTCCTTCTTCACCTTCCACCCCGATGAAGAGGATGGAGGAGGTGTCTCCTAGCAAGTCACAGGCACAGCCCCACCCTACCATGGCCTTCCTCAATGTGGCCCGCACCTACGTGCCCAACACCAAGGTCGAGTGCCACTACACCCTGCCCCCCAGCATGAAGCCGTCAGCCCGCGACTGGATCGGGATATTCAAGGTACTGGGAAGAGAGAGGTGGATGGGAGCTGGATGCATTAGCTGGGATCTCCACTGTAGATGTGGCCCCGGGGAGGCGGCATGTCAAGTTTTCTGATCAGGCAGTGAATTAGGCTGAGATGGGGAGGTGCAGGGTGTCCGACTGGCCTCCTCATCACCTGGGGTAGAGGCTTCCCCTCCTATTGCGTTCTCTGCTGTCCCGTTACACTGAGCCCGCAGCGTGCACGTGAGAGGAGGGGCCCACTTCTGCAGGCCACCTTGAAATTCACCCACAAGTCAACCAAGCCTCCTGCTTTTCCCTGCGTGCAAAAGCAAAACGAGGCAGCGTGGCCTAATGGCTAGAGCGCTGGCCTGGGACTCATGAGACCAGGGTTCTCTTCCTGGTGGCCAGCCTTGGGCAAGTCACTTCCCCTCCGTGTACCTCAGTTTCCCCATCTGTAAAACAGGGGCGGGCAGGGGAATGATACTGCCCTCCTGTGCTGTGTAACAGCTAGGCAGTATTATCATCTTAGGGTGAGTTGCATTGCAGACCCAGGCTTGAGGCTTCAGCAGTTCCAAGCCCGCACTTGAGCATCCACGCTGCATGGTAAACCTGGGCTTACAATCGCCAGCCCCGGGTCTTGCTGGAGACCTTTGACTTGGGTCTGCCGCTTTCTGGTGCATCCCCACTGCAAAATGACACGCCTTGGCTCTGACCCACCCCCAGCAAGGTCGTAGGACCAAGGTCCTGAGTGCCCCGAGTCAGACAGATCTGTGTGTGGACGGAAGCAGGGCTTGGGCTGAAACCTGAGTCAGAGCCCGGGCTTAGTGGGCAGTGTAGACGCCCGTTGCTGTGATAGCCCCTCCCAACCCCCCCGATGAGGACAGTGACACTCACTTGATGAGCGCTAGAGAAACGCTCAGCTAATGCCAGGGGTTCCTCAGACACCTTCTTGCCTGCGTCTGTCTGTCCAGGTGGAGGCCTCGTCCGTGCGGGATTACTACACCTTCGTGTGGTGCGTGGTGCCCGACGGAGGCGCGGAGGGGGCGCCCGTCCATTCCAGCGTCCAGTTCCATGGTAGGTGGGGGAGCTCCGGGGGGTGGGGGGGTGCGCGGTGCGTAGATTACGTGCGTGGGGGTTGCGAGAGGGTGAGATCAGACGGGGGGTGTCCATCACTGAGCAGCTGGAGCAACGGTCTGAAGCGGTGGCAGCCCTGGGGGAGGGTTTGGGTTACGGAGGCTTTGCTGTGGCTTGTTGGACCAAGGGCCCATCTAGCCTGGTATCCCGGCCTCCCTGATAGACGTGGTCATGCCAGCGGGCCCATCTAGCCCAATATCGCCTTACATTGCTGGACCAGACCCATGGGCCAATCCAGGCCAGTATCCCCACCAGATCAGGCCCATGGGCCCATCTCACGTGGCGTCCCGCCTCCAGGCGTGGCCATGACCTGATGCCACAGCAGCTGCAAACCAAATCTCCCTGAAGCCCCCTGGTGCAGTTACTACAGGGGGCATTGAGGAGGCAGCAGTGGGTGGGGAGGGCCTGCTCACACAGCTTGGCCCTGACATCTCATGTGGAGCTGAGGACTGGAATGGGGCCTTCCCATGGGACCCCAGGGTCAGCAGCTTGGGAGGGGAGGGGGTAAAGCAGAGAGGATCCTAGGAAGGGGTGCAGGAGGCAGCCGGGGAGAAGGAGCAAGGCTGGGACTGGAATGGGATGGCAGGTTTCCGAGCAGCCCCTGATGGAACGGGCATCCAGGCCACCGTCGGCCTTTGGTGCTACCCGCTGGTTGTCAGAGAGGCCAGGCCAGAGCAGGCCACACAGACTAGGCTCAAGGCCAGGGTGCGGCACACTGGCTGGGGGGCAGCACCTCTGTGACCAACGTGGTCTGCTGACAAGGCACTTGCCAGCCTCTCTGCCGTGGTACCAACCACGCTGATGCCAGGACTCAGGAGTGCGGGGCGGTTGCTGGGGGGCAAGACATGTCAAGGGAGAGCCAGGGACCAGACCGAGCCCCAGACTACGGGGCATCTGAGCCCCCACCTGGAAGCAGTCAGCCTCCTGGCAAGGCCCTAGCAGCGGTGGGGCAGAGGCATCTGATGCTGGGCTGTGTCTGTCCTGCTGCAGCCAGCTACCTGCCCAAGCCAGGGGCCCAGCAGTACCAGTTCCGCTATGTGGACCGCCGTGGCGAGGTGCGCGGCCAGAGCTGCCCCTTCCAGTTCAGCGAGCCCCGGCCCATGGACGAGCTCGTCACGCTGGAGGAGGATGACGAGGGCAACATGGACATGTTGCTGGTGGTGCCCAAGGCCACCCTGCTGCAGGTAATGAGGGGTCAGCATTGCCTAGTGGGCAGAGCACCAGATGGGTGCTCGGAGACCTGGCTTCTGGTCCCAGCTCTGCCAGTGGCCTTGGGCAAGTCACTTCACAGATTTGTGGCTCAGTTTCCCCTGGGCCTGGCTGGGCTGTGAGCTCACCCAATGCACAAGGTGGAGGGCAACAGGAGGGATCAGCTGTTCTTCTGCCCAAGAGGGCACCTGGCCATGTCCCAGTCAACTCAAACCCCTCCCCTCCTGCCAGGCTTTTCTCCCTGCAGGGCAGGCAGTAACAACTGCATTGGGAAATGGGGCGGAGCTTAGCCCTGGCCCCGCCCTCCAGCAGCTCTGCCCCTTCAGAACTGACCTCCCTGCTGTGATAAGAGCCCCCACCACTAGTCTCTTGCTCCGCCCACCTGAGTTAACCCCTTGCCTGCCTGTGCGCCCTGCAATGTCCTGGGGGCCTGGGGTGAGTGTAGTGCCTGCCCCCTCAGTCCGTACTAAAAGCGCCGGTCCCTGTGGGTCCCATTCCCGCCCAGAACCAGCTGGAGGAGAGCCAGCAGGAACACAGCAGGCTGCTGCGAGAGAAGCTGCGGCTGGAGGAGGAGGTGAAGGAGCTGCAGGCCCGGATTGAGCAGCTGGAGGAGGCTCTGGGCACCATGCGGGATGAGCACACCAAGCTGGCGGAGCAGTACAAGGTGTGTGGGGTGCCCCCTGCGGGCACCGGGCCCTATCGGGCAACAGCCACTGGGTTGAATCCTCCACCACTCCGCTTCCCGGGTTGATAAGGATCCAGTGTCGTCCCCATGGACTAGGCCGTTGCCCATCACACTGGGGGCAAACTGAGGCACACGGACGGGTGAATGAGGCCTCCCGGCTCCTTGCTCAGGCCACTGGGCTGGGCTGCCTCTCTGGAGATGCCCACCTAGGAGGGGACCCCATATTCCTCCTTGCGTTCCCTGCTACCCACTGGCTTAGCCCCAGATTCCAAAGGGGCTCTCCGATTTGGGGGGCCCCTGGGCTTCCCTGCCCCTTGCCAGAGCACCCAGACTCTGTGCTGATCCCAGGCGGGAGACAGGGTCGGGGCTTCCCGTGTCCCCGATCCCGGCTCACCCCTCCCCGCCCTGGCCGGCGGTGCCTCTCCCAGGATCTCTCGAGCTCCCATGCAGCCGTGATGGAGGAGCGGGACGCGCTGAGCCGGCAGCAGGCGGGACAGCTGGCCCGCATCCAGGAGCTGGAGGAGGACGTTCAGGCCCTGAGCGAGAAGGTGCTGCAGAAGGAGGTGGAATTGGACAGGTGAGCAGCAGTGGGCGGGGGTCAGCAGGCTTGGGGAGGGGGAGGGGAGTTAGCAGGGCCGGTGCTACCATTTAGGCAAACTAGGCGGTTGCCTAGGGCGCCAAGATTTGGCGCCACAAGCCTGGGAGGGGAGGAGAATTAGAGCGGGGGCAGCGTGCTCGGGGAGGAGGCGGAGCAGAGGTGAGCTGGGGTGAGGAGCTGCCGCACGGCTCCCCGGGCCGGAGGGGTGGGGGGAGCTGCCATGGGGGTGCCTCAGGGCGAGGAGGGGAGCTGCCGCAGGGCTGGGGGCGGGCGCGCAAGGTGGAAGTTTCGCCTAGGGCGCAAAACTTCCTTGTGCCGGCCCTGGGAGTTAGGGTCAGTGCTGTGACCCGGCTGGACTGGCGGGTGTGGGGGAGGCGGGGGCAGGTGAATAACAGGGCTGTGGCTTGGCCCAGCGGGAAGGAAGGTGGCCTCATCCCTTGTGGCTCATCGGGACGGGTCCAGGCCTGTGATCTCGTCCAGTGTCTAAGCAGGGTTGGACCTCGTCAGCGCCCGGATGGGTGACTGCTGAGGCCGAACCCAGGGCCCTGCGGGAAGGGGGAGAGGCCAGCTGTTCGGGGGGCTCTCACCCTGAGTGAGAATGGGCTAGTGCCCTAGGGGGCACTGTGCTGTGCTCTGGGGAGCAGGGTGGGGGCTCAGTACTGGATGCTCTCTCCTTTCTCCCCCCCACCCCACAGCAGCATGGACTCTAATGTGCCATGGGGGTGCAGCCTCTGGGGTCGGAGTGGGGTTGCAGTGTCCCGTGTGCTAGGACAGGGCCAGGCCCAGGCCATGCTGACTAAAAGGGTCCCGTTAGCGAGGCTGCAGGACACAGACTCACCCTGGGGTTCTGGCCCGGCAGCGTCACGGAAGGGCCAGCGGGCAGCAGTGGATCTGCCCGGCCCCCCCCCCGCGCCCCCCCCCCCCCCCCCCCCCACCGCTGTAGCTGGCAGTGCCCTGAGCCGAGCCAGGGCTCACCCTGCCTGTGTCCCTCCCCCACCCCCAGGATGAAGGACACGGTGAAGTCCCTGGTGCGGGAGCAGGAGCAGATCCACCACCAGCTCAAGGAGGAGAACGCCGAGAAGGAGCATTACCAGGTGAGCCCCGGGGCGGGGCTTGTAGGGGCGACTTGCTGGTGGTGGAGCTAGCTGGGGTGAGCAGAGGAGCGGGGGTCCCTCCCCTCCCCCTCAGACACACACAGGAGTGGGGGGTCCCTCCCCATACATACAGAGAGCCGCAGGGTCCCCCATCCCCAGGGGACATCCAGAGGGAAGGGAGGTGGGTCCCATCCCCGCCCCCCGGGAGTCTCTGGGCCGGCACGTGAGGATCATGTCCCCCACCCCCACCCCCCAGGTCAAGCTGCAGGCTTCGGAGCAGGAGAGCCGGAACCTGGCCTGCGACCTGCTGCTGGCCAAGACCCGGCACAGCGAGAAGGTGTCGCAGGCCCTGGTGCTGCAGGAGGACATCAGCAAGCTGCAGCAGAAGCTGGCAGCTGCACAGCAGAGGACGGTGAGTGCCCGGGGTGGGGGGCCCCCCTCGGTGCCATGGCGCAGCCTCCGCTCCCCCCTCCCCCTGCTTGGGTGTGTGCGTTCACCAGCCCTTTCCCTGGAAAAGAGGGGATTGGGGCGGTGTCGCTGCTAGAGCAGGGGGATGGGAGCCAGGACTCCTGGGTTCTCTTTCCCTGCTGTGGGTGCCTGTGTGTGTTCTAGGGGTGAGGACAGGGAGCCAGGACTCCTAGGTTCTTTTCCCACTGACTCCTGAAATGCAGCCACTTCTGGGGCACGGAGCGTAACAGGATAGTATTTTACCAAGAAGGCAGCAGCCCAAACCCCGCTCATGTGAAAAGCGCCGCAGGATCTTTGGCACCCTCCTGGAGCCGGATTTCGAAGATCTCTGCCGGGAGGGAAATCTCCTGGCTCCTCAGAAGGCCTGCATCAGCCCTACTGGGATTTGAACCCTGGCTTAGAGGAAGGCCAGCTATTTCCAGCTTGGCTTTGGCGCATAGACCTCCGAGCTACCCTGCACCTCACAGAGCTCACTGAGCAGTTTGCCTTGATAACATCCTGCAGCAGGGAGTTCCACATGCTAATAGGAAAGAATTTTAACAGTCTTTTAAATGCCATCAACTGCTCCCTTGTGGCTGTGTTTGGGGGTGGGATGCAGGGGCAGAGCCCAGCTGGCCTCTTCCATCCCATTCATTATTTCCGACCCCCCCCAGGCCCAGCTGGAAGCGCTGTGTGAGCAGCTCCGCTCCACCCAGGACCTCCTTGCCGCCAGCCAGCAGAAAGTGGTGCTGCTGGGGGAGGAGTTGGCCAGCGCCTCCTCCATCCGGGACCGGACCATCTCGGACCTCCACAAGAGCCGGCTGGAGTCAGCCGAAACCAACATCAAGCTGGCAGACATGACCCTGAAATGGAAGGAGGGAAAAGGCCAGTGGTGGAAGGAGAAGAGCAACCTCCTGCAGAGCATAGAGGTGCCAACCCCCACCCCGCTGGGCCTCTCACTTGAATGGCTGTATCCACTGCCGGGGTGCAGCCACCTCTGGGGTGGGGTACTGCCAATGCTCAACAGTTTAGGATAGGAAATGAATGCGCATCCCCTAGCTGGGCTTGTCTCAGTGACCGGTGGACAGGGAGCAGGGACGAGCATGTCCAGGCCTTGGGAAAAGTCCCCCTGTCGTGACCCACACAATGCTCAGAACTTGGCTTATGTCTCAGTACAGCGCCCCCTAGAGCTGCACTGGGGTGGGCACTGGCTATGGGGATAGCGCCCCCTACTAGCTCCCTGAAGCACAGCATGAGGGGAGAATACCTGTACTAATCCCCCTGCAGCCCAGAACCCCCTAAACCTCTTATCAGAGAGGAGAGTGCCCCCTACTGAGCCCCCTGTCCCGTTCCCTGCAGCACAGCGCCCCCTAGCACCGCATTGGGGCCAGCACTGGCTGCAAGGTGAGGGCGCCCCCTATTGAGCCTCTCACCCTGCTCCCTGCAGCGCAGCGCCCCCTTGCGCTGCACTAGGTATTTGTAGTCCTTCCATCCCAGCCTAGCTAGGGAGATGTGCCGGGCTCCCCACGGCGGGCGAGTGCCGGCCCCCATGAGCGCCCCCCATGCTGTTTGCAGGCGGAGAAGGACAAGATCCTGAAGCTGAGCGCCGAGGTGCTGAAACTGGAGAAGAACCTGCAGGAGGAGCGAGCCCAGAAGCAGGCGCTGAAATCTGAACTGTCCCACGAGAGGGACTCCAGCCTGGTAAGGCCAGTAGGGGAGTGGGCACTGCCCCCGGGACAGAGGGGAACCCCAGTCTCTGCCCTACAAGGGGTGGGATCAGAGCTGTGATGGGGAGGCCCTGCCATGCGGGGTGGGAGGACCCTGCCCTAAGGGGGAGGAATCAGAGCTGGGATGGGGAAGCCCTACCCCGAAAGCCACACACTGGTGCTAGGGGATGCCCTGCCCCATAGGAGGAGGGATTGGGGCGCTCATGGGTTCTGGGGGATCAGGTGCCTCGGGTATGGAGGTTCCCTCCCAAGGCTGGTGCAGGGCCAGCCCTTGCCACACTCCCTGCCCTGGGGCAGTTCTCACGGTCCTGTGCCCCCTTCCCCCCCGCCCAGGTGCAGCTGTCGGAGAGCAAGCGGGAGCTCAAGGAGCTGCGCGCGGCCCTGAAGGTGGCTGAGAAGGAGAAGGAGCAGCTCCAGGAGGAGAAACAGGTTGGTGCCAGCTGGGGTCAGAGTCAAAGGGAGCTGAACCCCGGAGCCAGGCGGGTATCAGCTCTCGGCCCAGGCTCCAGCGGGGGCCAAGGAACCGCCAGGAGGGGGTGACATGAGTCACATTCCCTGCCCCCATCATGGCCTTCCCTGCATAGGGGCTGGGCGGTGCCCTGGGGTCAGGCAGGGGCCCTGCAGCCTGGGCAGTGGGTGGGGGCAGGCAAAGACCCTGCTCCCCCCCCCCCGCCCCGGGTCTCCCCATGGCCTGGTGCAGGCGGGGCCGATATTGACCCTGGTGGCTTCCCCTCCCCAGGAGCTGCTGGAGTATGCCCGCAAGCTGGAGGAGCGGCTGGAGAAGGTGGCCGATGAGAAGTGGAGCGAGGTGACGGCGGCCGAGGAGGAGGAGGCAGCGGCCACAGCACTGAGTGCGTAACACCCCGTCCCCCCACCCCTGTTACCTCCGTCCCCCAACCCCTGTCAGCCCACCCCGTTACCTCCTCACCCCCATCCTCCCACCCCTGTTACCCCGTTACCTCTGCCCCCCTTCACTGCCTCACCTCATGCCCCGGCACCCCTGATGGTTACCCCCTCACTGTAACCCCTGTTCATCCCCCTCCTGCTCTGCCCCCAACTCCCTCCTCTCTGACCCGGGAGCCCCCCTCCCCGCTCTCACTGCTAGGGTATGTGCACTCTCCACTCGCCCCCTCTCTCCCTCCCCGACATCGCCCTGTGCTGCTCCCCCCCACCCAGAAGAGTAGTGCTGCCCCCCGGAGTTACCAACACTGTGCCAGTGCCAGCTGTCCCTCGGCTCCTCCCCCAAGAACTCCCCCCCACCCCCGCACCCCCTGTGCTGGCTCTCCCCAGGCTCCTCCCCCCAGCAGGGTTCCCCCCCTTTGCCCTGCCCTGCTCAGCGGGGGGCACCGGCTGCCCAAGTGACCCTGTGGCCTCCCCTCCCCCCAGGCTCCCTGGACTCCCCACTCTCGGACTCGGAGGACGAGTCCCCCGAGGACATGAGGATCCACACCCAGCTCAGCCCCTACAGCCTGTGCGACAACCGGGCAGGCACCAAGACCCCGCCGTGCCTGCGGGAGCCCATGCACAAGGTGGTGATCAGCCAGCCCGCCCCCATCACCACCCAGATCAAGCAGCCCACCGAGGACAACAGCTCCGACTCAGTGAGTCCCCGGGGGGCGAGGACCCCCAAGCACGTGCAGCGTGGAGGGGGAAACTGAGGCACAGGGACTTACCCTCGGTCACACAGCGAGCAGGGGCAAGGGTGGAAATAGAACCCTGGCGTCCTGGCTGCCAGCTGCTTCCTCTACCCCGCTATTCCACACTCCACCGGAGGCGGATGGGGTGGGATTTTTGTTGGCAGGAGGGGCTGGGCCCCCCACCCTCCTGGGCAACAGAAAGCCCAGCTTTGAGGGTGCATCTGAGCCTGCTTCACCCAGGAGGAGGGGTTATCTGCCAGCCCCCCAAACCCTCCTGCATTCCCCTCGACCGCATCCCTGATAGGAGTAGCTGGAAGGTCCCTGGAGCTGCAGGACCGGGGATGGCTGCTCCCCCCCTACCCCCCCAAGGACAGGGGCGAAGGGGCGTCTGTGCCAGGCTGGGGATCAGGCCCACGTTTGAAATCTCTCCGTGTCCCACTGCAGTTGCTGTTCGTTCATGGGGCAGCTTCTTCCTCCCCCGCCCCTCCAGCCGTGAGTGGGGGGAGGGGCTTTGTAGACCCGCCCCTGTAAAACTTTACAAACCTCTGATAATTGGCACGATAAAACATGCAGTAAATTAACGGCCTGGGAGAAAAGGGGGGTGCCGGGGAGTCTCTCCGGCACCTCCTGCTGGGGAAAGTGGGGGGGTGTCGGTGCCTCCCACTGGGGAAAGTGAGGGGGGTCAGCTGGGAGGATGGGGACTTCTCCCTGCCAGCCTCATGGCGTCAATGCTGGGAGAGCCCCCCACCTCCATCCCCAGGGGGACAGCGAGAGCAGCAGGATGGGGGACTCTGCACCATCTGGGCCAACTCAAACGCTAGCCCTAGGAGGGGCTGATCTTTGCCCTTCAGGGCTGGGGCCCATCTACACTAGGAAAGTAACAGTGTTTGGGGGGTTGATCTGGTTACACCACAGTAGCTCCCCCCGCAGGCCAAAGCCAAAGCTCCCAACCCCTGGGGCTTCTGGGCTGTTGAGATCTGGATGTGGCAGTCAGCTGATCACCAGGCGTTTGGGGTTCCCTGGGGTTCCTGAAGGGGAGCTATGCTGGGGCTAGGGAGGTTGCCCGGCTGCTGGGACCAGAACGTCCCTGCACTCGGTCCATTTCCATGGTGTCTGTTGCGGGATCGCCGTGTGAGGGGGGCGGCCCGCGTGGCCCATGGCAGCCCCACGAAACGTAGCAGGAAGGATCGCGGGCAGGGGGCCGGCTGGCAGTGACATCACAACACGCTGGCCCCGCTCAGGACGGGACACAGCTCGGTTCAGAGATCCCTCAGGGGCAGCCCAGCAGGTCCGAGGATCAATCCCAGCACCCCCTGCTGCAAGGGGGAGCAGGCTGCTGACCCACTGCCCACCCACCCACCCCCCGGCGCATTCATGGCTCCATGATTCCCCCGCACAGCTAGGGGGCAGGAAACTAGCAGAGACCTTTCGGGTAGCCCACACGCTAGGAGTACAGCTGGGGACCTTGCAGCAATGGGGATAAAACTCACACCCCCGGGCTGCCAGGGCTCAGCCCACTACCACTAGAGGTAAAGGAGAATCCCCATCCATCCTCAGCAGTATAGGGCCTATGACACATAGCGGGGCTGTTCTTCTGGGAAGCCCAGTTGCTTGGGGTGGGCACAATCACTATGCCTGTGCGCAGGGGGCACCCCAGTGCTGGGGGTTGGGGGCTGGACTCTGGCCCCCAGCGCTCTCAACCACCACTCTCGCTGCAGGAGGCGGAGGACGAGAAGGCCGTGCTGATGGCGGCTGTGCGGAGCGGAGGGGAAGAGACCAGTCTGCTGCTGCCCGAGCTGGGCAGCGTCTTCTATGAGATGGCCAGGTGAGGGGGGGATTGGCCGCACTGGGGCCTGTCAGCAGAGCAGGGGGCTGTTCCTTCACCCTGCCCATTAGGAGGACGATGGAGAAGAGGATGAAGGGGAGCAGAGTGGGGAGATGCGGGGGAGGATGCAGGGGAGCAGAGTGGGGGGAGGGGAGCAGAGTTGGGGCTGGGGAGGAGGATGGAGGGGAGCAGAGTGGGGGGCTGGCGAGGGGGATGTGGGGGTATGGGGAGGAGGATGGAGGGGAGCAGTGGGGGGATGGAGGGGAGCAGGATGGAGGGGAGCAGGGGGGGGGGCTGGGGGAGTGGGGGAAGTGGGGGGTGGGGGCAGTTTTCCAAGCCTCCTCTTAGTTAGTAAAAATATATAAATTTCCCTGTGGGTGCGGGGAGCCGGTGACTTTTACAGCCAGTGGCCATAAAAGTGGCAGGCGCGGAGCCGGGAGATGTACGGCCGTGTCAGGGCATTTCTGAATCAATTTTCAGCATCATTAGATTCCTTTCTCCTGCAGACAGAGGCAGGCGGGCGGGCGGGGGGCGGGGAGGGGGGCTATTTGCAAGTGAAATAGATAGAATCACCCAGCTGTAAGGCAAGGTGGGGTCTGTGCACCCAGCCCCCCCGTGTGGGGGGATGGTCTGCAATGGGGGTGTCCGGAGTAGGAAAGGCAGGTTGGGTGCAGGGTGCTGAGTGCAGAGAGGTGGGATGGGGGCAGCGGGGGAGGGCAGAGTGGTTCCAGGTGGGATGGGATGGGGACATTGGGGAAAGGGTGGATGGGATGGGGTGGTGGCGGCAGGGGGGCTGGGACGGAGTGTTGGGGGAGGGCAGGTGGATACAGGGGGATGGGATCGACGTATGGTGGGAGGGTGGGGTGGGAAGCCAGTGTTGGGGGATTGGCAGGGTGGGTGCGGGGGGGAATGGGATGGGGGTGTCGGGGGAGGGCAGGGGAATGGGATGGGGTGTCGGGGGAGGGAAGAGGGGATGGGATGGGGGTGTCGGGGGAGGGCAGGGGAATGGGATGGGGTGTCAGGAGAGGGCAGAGGGGATAGGATGAGGTGTCAG